AGAACGACGAGTTTTTTAAGGCGAGGTGGTGGTGTTGCTTGGAGGTGACTCGGCACTCGGGCGTTTAGCACCGCGGACCTGGGTCCAAGAATCCTCGCCGCCGGACTCAGTGGCCATGTCCGCGGGGCAAGCAAGCGAGCAAGCGAGCGGACACGGTGGGAGCGAGGGCGCCGCCAAAACGCGGGCCGCAAAGAGCGGGGTTGCAGATTTTGTCTGACAACGTGGTTCACGCCAAGATGTCAGAAAAAAAAGGAGCTGTTCCAGCGTAACGTCATGACCTTCAGCTCCAGCCGGTGCAGACAGGTTTACCTTGGCAAAAAAGGCTTTGACAAAGGTGTCCTTGCAAGCACGGTTCAAGAGCTCGGACAAGCCCGACGTCAGACTTGGGGGCAGCGTGTAGAGGTGGTTGATGAGGCTAGGCACGTACTGCATGGCCGTGAGGAGGGCCTGAAGCGAGACACCGGTCGTCAGCATGTCATTGAGCTTGCCAGCAATGTGCTTTGCCTTGTCGTTCAGCTGCTTCTTCATCCACTCGCGACGGCCAATCGGCGTTCCCAAGACCGTCATGCCCGTGTTGGCCGTCTCGCGCACGGCATCTGGCAATACAGACTTCATAGCAGTGATGGAAGCCGAATGGCGGCAAGGCATGTAGTATTAGAGGCACAATCTGAGACGGTATACTTTACCACGTAGTGTGTCCTCTGGTACTTGATGTTGTCCCACCTTGTTGTGTAACATCTTGCTGTACCATCTTGGTGTATCATCTTGTTGTGGCATCTGTTGGTCCCAACAGATTGCTGATATCGCTTCCACCTGTCTTCAGTGTGATAGTCCATTCTCTGTCTCCACTGTGTGTGTGTTTCCACCTGCTATAAATGGGAGCGATCTCCCTGGATCGGTACCATTTTCCTTCTTGACCTCGGTCGTTCCACTTCCCTCCTTCTGTCTTGTTCTGTCTTGTTCCTTCGCCTTGCTTCAATCCATGTTCTCGTGTACACTTCGACTGGTTGGATACCTCTGTGACAATCGCCTTGTCCACACACATTACACTGTACTGGACATATACCTTTAATATGTAGAAGCGGCTCTTACTGGGCTGCAGATGAAGGCCAGCAGACTCTGCACGAGCCTTGACAATCTCGACGTCGGCCGCCACGTCCTCCGCGGGACCCATCAGTACAATGTCGTTGCTGCGGCAATGCCTGCCGCCGCCACTGCCACATCTTTGGCCCCTGTGACCGAGGATTTGTCAGCATCGGTGCCCTCTGAGCCAAATGGCAGCGGGGAGCAGCAACCCTCGCCCGAGTCCGCGAGACAGACACATCATTCGATTCCTAACACACCATCGGATTTTTTGACCATGTCTTCGGATGAAAGCGACTCCCCTCCTCGCTCCACCGCACTCCGCGCGCCCACCCCTATCGCCCCTCCCGCGCATGATGGTGACGGTGACACAAACGGCAGTGCCACGCCTGAGCCATTGGTGCAATCACCTACACC